TTTTATTCATACAATGCTTAATTATCATAACTTTATTAACTTAATAATAGAATTAACAAAGTCATATACACATTAGCAAATTTAACTCTGGCAATAAAAACTAATGTTGTGGACCAATAAAATTCAAGGGACTTGTAGGGAAAAAAATAGAGTAAAAGAGAAAATTAACTCCTCAACTATGGATTTAGGAAATTTAAGATTTTAAATTTATTTTTTATATAACATTTTCTTTCAACTTTTGAAAATAATATAATCTGACCTATATTATCAATAAAAATTAACTTTTATTATTAGTTGACTAGAAAATAATAAAAAATAATTTTAAAAATTATAGAAAATGACTTAAAATTATAATAAAACACTCAAAAATTACATATGAAGACTCAAAAAATTACAAAAAATAACCAAAAAAATTTTATTGATATTTTTTATTTGTTATTAACTAATAGTTAATGTAAACATTATTAGTAGTAGGAATTAAATTGTATTATTTTCAAAAGTTAAAGAAAAATATTATATTAAAATGAATTTAAGGGCTTTGATGCCCCTTTACCTATAATTTAAAAGTTGATTTGCTCTTTCATCCAAAAATATATAAAGACTTATACCAAAAAAAATACTAACAGTAAGGAACAAACAATTATATTTTCAAAAAAAAAATTCCATGCACGTTATTCAAATTCTCATCATTTTTTTTAAAGAAAATCAAGACTTTTCGGTCCGTCGAAACATTGAAAAATTAGACATTACGGTGATAAAATTTGAAAAGTTTTTTTGGCCAGAAGAAAAGGATTGACTTAAATATTATAAATAATTTAGCAATTTCATGGCCGGTTTGTTTTCCATGCAATTAGCGTGGTGATGAGCGCTGGCACTCATCAATTAACGGACACCGCATTTTGACTATTCTTTCTTCATTTTTATTTATAAAAAAATTATTATTATTTATTTATTTTTATAAAAAATTATTGCAAACTTTTTAAATTATCCCTCATAATTTTATCATTTATAGTCATAAAAAATAATTAATGAAGACTTGATTAACATAATTAATGAAAGGTATTGTAGTTCAAATTTTTTATTTTCAAATATAATTAATATGATTAATTAATTTTTTAAACTATATGATATAATTTTTTTTTCTATAAATAAAAATGGAGAGAGAACAGAGAAAAACAACGCCCTCCACTCCTGTTTTGACTCTTGGGTTAAAACTTTCAAATTTCAATGGAAAAGGGGAAAGGAATTGGTAATTAGGACCATTTTTGTTGTTGTTTCGTGTGTATGGGATTGAGATTCGAACTCGTGGCTTGACTTGTTAAAGTAAAATGCCTTCACCACCAAGCCGCAGGGTTCACGTGGCGCAATTGCGACTATCTTTATGGAACCTAACTTGCATCTTTCACCTTTGAATATCTAGTAATCAAGGATTATTTATAAAAGAAAAGAAAAGAAAGAAAGAGCATATAAATAAGCAATAAAATTGTTATGCTCATTAAAATTTAAAATCTAAAACAATTTTCTTATTAAAAAAAATTAGGGCATGTTTGGTTTTATTTTAAAAATTTGTTTATATTTTTAAAAATTAAAAAATTAAAAAAATCATTTAGATAAAACATTTTAAAAGTATTTTTATTTTATTTTCCTTGTTTTCAAAACATACTATATTTAACTATTAAAAAATATAGTTATCTTCACTAAATTCTTTCATAAATCACTATCATTAATATCCTAACCATCACTATTAGTCTATTTTTAATTTTAAAATTTTTTAAATTAACATAACTAAACAAATTTTTATTTTGTTTTGTTTGGAAAAAATTCTAAAAAATATATTATAAAATATTTTTTTTAAAAAATGGGAACTAAAACCAAAGAAACCCTTAATCATTTAATTTTTATAATTTTAATTCAATTATAATTTAGTCTCTAAACTTTAATTTATTATAACTCAGTCTTTAGAATTTTGATTCGCTTTCAATTCATTTTTTAAATTTTGATTTGATGTAACTCAATTCTTATATAGTTTTAATCATTTAAAATATTGGTCCTATATTTTAAAAATAAAATTATAAAAATTAAAATTATTTTAAAATTTAGGAATTAATATTTTAAATTACTAAAACTTTTAATTTATAAAGATTCTAAAAATTTTAATTTTAATTTTTTTAAAATATAAGGACCATTATTTTAAAGCTTGAAAAGATCAAACTGATCCCTAAATGGTAAGTCCAAGTCCTTCTAGGACCCTAAATTCATTCAGAAATTGAGTTATAATTGAATAAAAATTGTAATGACTAAATAATTATTTTTTCTTAAAAAATATTTTAGATTTTTAATTTAATGTGTCTAACAATTTTATTGCTTATTTGTGTCGTAGAAGTTGAAAAATGAATATGCAAGTCCATGAGTTTATCCGTCATGCTGGATCCCACGAAAAGTCCCAAACTCCCAATAAACAATTCTTTTCATTTTTTTTAATATAAAACCACGTCTAACAATGCAAAAAAAAAAAAAAAACAAAGGGTCACATTCGATATTATACAATTTCTACACTTCTAGAATGGATCATCAAAAATCTTAATAGCAAGATTATCCTTAGAAGCTTGATGGGTGATCGATGGTTAATCCCTTTCACTTTTCATTTTTTTAATTGATGAATGCCAAGCGTTGAGCATGAAAACTGAACCCATAATGCACTAAACGACTAAAAATTGTTCGGCAAAATGCAAAAAAAGAAAATTAAAATGGTATTTTTTTATTTTACTTAACCCACATTTTGTTATCAAAAAATGTAATTGTAACCATGGCACTTTAGGAAACTTGCTTTTCTGGTCAAGCATTTGGAATGTGATCAAAATTTATCATTAATTTATCATTAGTTTCTCTCTCTTATTTTTATTTGAGAAGTTAAAGACCTACTAATTGAAGGGCTCTGAAATATTTAACTTTTTCAATGAACATTTTGTTCTTTTTTGTAAGCACATTCATGAAAGATTTTTTTTTTTAAAAAATTATTTTTTGTTGCAGGTCGGCACTGACAAATTTAATACATGATTGTGAGGTCTTCTAAAAGAAATAACTAACTCTCTGTTTGGATAAACAAAATTGGAAAGAATGAAAGAAAATTAGGAGGAAAAACTTCATAATAAAAAAATTACTAGTTTTTTTAAAAAATTCTCTCAATTTTCTCTCTTTCGTATTTTCTGTCAATTTTTCTTTCCATCCAAATTAAACCTAAAAGTCATCAAACTAGGGGAGAACATCAGTTAATTTGATTCGGTTCGGTTGTGATTAAAGAAAACCGACAAACCAAAATTTAATAATTTTTTGAACCGAACTGAACCGAAGTTTTGGAAAAACCGAACTAAAACTGAACCGAATTTTAATGGTTTGGTTATTTATTTTGGTTATTGGGTCTTTTTGTCAATACACTAGGCCTTTTTTTGTCAATAAATTGGGCCTATCTCCAAAAAAGAACATCATACTAATTAAGAAATAATTTAAAACACCAAATGCCCCTAACTAAAGTGAAGGAAAAATGATTTGGACTGGTCTAGTGGATCCTGTGAAATTTTAATTCTTGAAACCTCAAACAATTATAAAATTAACATAATAAATATAAATAGTGAGAAAAACAAAAGGGATCCCCAAAAACAATAACGTGGACACTGGACAACATAGAAAAGCATATCAAAATATAGGAATCAAATATAATACTAGTATTTCTAAAAAATATTAATAAAAATAAAAACAATCCTTAATAATATAAATCAATTATAATATTTATAAATATATATAATTAATTTTGATTAATTCGATTTATTCGGTTTTGCAATCTTCAAACTGAACCGAACCATTTAAACTAAAATTTTTTTAAGAAAAAATCGAACCGACCATTTAAACCGAATAAACTGAACCAAATAGATCAAACTCAATTTGGTTTGATTCGATTTTCGTCTTCGGTTCGATTCAATTTTGCTCACCTTTACATCAGACCTTAGTTTCAATTTCACTTTATATTTTTTTGCCGTTGATGGGTTGATACACTTCGATTGAGGCCGTGATTATATTCTACAACTTATTTTTCCTTTTTTGTGTTCAGATAAGGAAGCATTTCTTTCGACAATTTTAACAAGGAAGCTAGAAAATATTAGCCCATCACTTGTTTTGTTATTACCTTAATGAAGTTGCTGCTTTTATTTAAAAAATAATAATATAATTTTTAGCTCCTAAATTTTCTATGAATTATCAATTTATTAGTATGGAATTGGAAATGGAGAAGTGAAAGCGAAAAAAAATAAATTATTTAATCATTAATACAATGAATCTCATTTTTCTAGAGAATCCAATCCTATCAAAATTGGTGGAACTCACTTCCACTTTCATAACTATGGAACCTACTTCCTTCCTCACTTCCTTCGTAAAAAATATCTCATTTCATGTACAAACTGAACATATTTTAAAACTCCACTTTCATTTTCATAAAATATTCTCCCATGGTACCAAACAGGGCATTGATTCTCAGTCACAACTAATACGTTCTAGAAATATTTGTTTCATATTTTCAAAGTAATTTTGACTGTTAAAATAATTGATCACATGCAGAATGTTAATGGAGTACAAATCCTAAGATGATCTCCTAACAACAACCATTATATATATATATATATGAATGGCCGCTCGATACAAGAGTAAATTGCAAATCACATCTCTACAAACGCACAACTGATGAAGTCAAGCAATTAAGACTTGCTGCAATTTGAAGAAAAATGAAGAGAAAAAAACAGTTTTAAAGTGCAGTATGGCAGAGCTTAGCAACCTGATATTATAGGAAGGTCAAATAAAGCAATAAACATGTAGCATAGAATATCTAGATTCATCATTCTAAATAACATCTCCAAAGGGCATGAAAACCATATAGTTACATAATAATCTAATCTGATGTGGATTCATTTCCACCAAAATATTTAGACAAAAGCAATAACTAAACTTTCCGATCAATGTTCTTCAAAGTGGATGTTCCAAACTGGTACAAGGCTTTCCACATGATTGAGGACACGACAATCATTGCCACATCCAGGGATAGCAAACATCTTAAATTCATTAGTAGTCATATTCAACAGATACATACCAGCCTTTCGTCCATCATTCTCCGTTTCACGTTCACTTTCATTGGTAAGTCTAGGCATTCCAAAATCAATACATACAATTTCATTCCTCCAAAGGGCCCCAAGTTTTAACATGGAAGGGCAGTGATTCCTAGCATATTTCTTAGTCCAACACCATCTCTCCGTAGGTGAACCTGTACACTCCTCTAGCACCCACAAATCAATCGAAGAATATAGATAGTCTGGGAAGGTTCCAATATTAGAGAGAGAAAGTGCAGCAAATTTGTCCTCATACACAGCAAATTTTACAGTTGAATTATCACGATCAGATAAAGGAGGCCATGGTATCAACACAAACACTTCCATTTCTATGTCAAATGAAACTATCAAATCAGTATCATCTTCACCCTGCTCCTCCACACCTCGTCTTAGACCCCACCAAAAGATAGCTCCGTTTGCAGTGCCAGTACCGTGAAAAAGACTTACACCCTCTAAGCTTCCAAATTCTATTTCCTTCCATAAACCTGTGCTTAACGAATACACTTCAACTACACTAATTGCATCATCACACCCAGGCCCATCATAAATTTTCACTATCTTATAGTCATTAACAATTGGGCTGAACCCAAATCCTACTATGCATTCCCACATCGGAAATTCAACAGTTCTGGATCTAGGTATCTGTCTGACCTCTCCAATAGCAGGATTCCACAGTAAAAGGGAATTGCACAAAAAAAGGGACTGATCGAGTGCAACACAGAGCAAGCCATTGCTGGAACCGATGATCCCAACGTCCGGTAAGGAACCGATCAAAGGTGCGTTCTGAACTTCACGGACATGCATCTCACAATCGAGCAAACGCAAGTGCAAAGGCTTACATGTACTACTGTTGTGTATGATAAGAAGAGAAGGGTTTTGATGAGTTGGGTAGAGCAGGTGTTCAGCGATGAAAGATGGGGTTTTGAAGAGATTCTTCCAACGTTTGCAGACACATTGAAATCGGATTAGGGATTTCACAGGGAGTCGTTTGAGAATGTTTGTCACGATTTCTTCAGGAAGAAATGGCGTGTCGCCATGCACTGCCGGCCGCCTCATAGTGCTCGAGAGGAAAGAACAGATCTCTCAGAGGAAAGCAGAAGAAATCGAAGGAAGGGAATCAAAGTGATGCACCTGAGTTGTAAGTCGTCGACCGACAAGAAGGAACCTCATAGAGCAAAGCCCTCGCATTCAACTGCGGCCATTTTAGGGGATCTCATTAGGAAATGAGAGGAAGATGGTCGCAAGTCGGGACGGATGTTTATATTTTTTTCTTTTTCTTTTTCTCGTAAATTATTCTTTTTAATTTTAAAAAAAAACATACATTTTGATTTTTATAATTTATTCATATTTTATTATAAGTTTCTTCATTTTTTTAATATTCTAAATCCCTGAATTTTTATTTTATGATATTTTAAATTTTTAAATAAATAAAATGAACAAAGTGTAAGGATTTTAGATGAATATAAAACATTAAAAATTAAAATGTAGGGATCTAAAATATTAAAAAATATAAGAATATATAATAAAACACGAACAAAATGCAGGGACAAAATGCATATGTTCCCTTAATTTTTTGTTATTCATTTGAATTTAGTTTTTTGGCCAAATTATTTTCTTTTCTTTTTTATGGAAAACGAAACTTTAATGAATAAATCGGTTTTTCCATCAATGTCCAGAAGTAGTTAAATTAAATATGAAAACATTACATTTTTAATATTCTCTACCTGATTAAATATTTTAAATATCTAATGTTGGCAATTTTTTTATAAGGACTTGTCTGCTCAAGCAATGGATTAAAAAAAACAGAAAAAAATAATTAAATTATCCGTTGCTTCATGTTAAACATGAAAAAGTTCAATACCACATATTTCAAATTTAATAATCACCATACCCACCATAATCACCATAACCATAAGAAATCATGACTCTTAACTCATAAATTAAATTATTTATTCTAGTCATGAACATGGTATACTTGCCTTTCTTTACATAATAGTCATTGTATTTTTATTTTTTTAATACATTTCATTCTATTTTTTTTCCAGTAAATAAACCGGTCCTGAAGACTTAGTTTAATGAAAACTTCATTTATTCAGTTTCTGAAAGGAGAACAAAAAGCACCATGGTGATTGTTGGTATTGTAATATGACACAAGTGTCATCTTATCTTGTTTTGATTCTATAATCTTAGTACATTGGTAATACTAGCTTTTTTTTTTTTCACTGATAAAAAGTTAAATAACCATTAACTTAAATTGCTGGTAAAAAAAAAACCTTTAACATAAATTACTCATCAAATATAATTAGTGGCATGAGATTGCTTTTTTAATAATATTTGTATTCGTTGTTATTTTTATATTAATAGCATTATTGAAAATTTTTATCTTGTTAGTATTTTTTTTATCTTCAACTAATTTTGAAGTCACCTGGCAACTAATTGAGTGCTTCCCAATTTGGCCTCCCCCACCCCCCTCCCCCCCAAAAACACTATAACGATTTCTACCATGAAAGTTTATTATTCATTAACTTACCTACAATTTAATGTATCTGAGGACTTGATATATATATATATTTTGGTCAGAAAATCGGATGACTTGATATTTATAAATTTTGACTGTACTCATAATTAAAATCCAACACAATCATATTAATTAATGTCATATTATGCCATTTTTACATACCGAATACACGCTTAACATTTGAGTGTGCGCTCTTTTTAATATCATATGTAAGTTGAAATAATCAAATACAACTCTATGTTTCCCTTCTCTTTAGATTTTTTTTAATCTTTAAATATCCATTCAACTTTCATGGATCCATTTCAAGGTGTTTCAGAGTGAAGAGAGAACAAGAGAGAGAAGGAGGAAATGAGAGTGAGAGAAAGGAAGCAAGGAACAATGAAATGATTACTCCCTCCGTTATGAGAAGTTGGATGTTAAAAAATATAAGATATTTTTAATTTTTTAAAGTGTAATCATTACCCTTTTTTTTTAAAATACCCATATTGATGAATGACTTTATATTTATTGTAGGGTGTTTAATAAAGATAAATATAAAAGATAGGGTTAGTTTAAAAGTAGGTAATTACTTTTATTTGAGGTGATATTCAGTTTAAAATGTCTTACATTTTTTAATGGAGTAAGTACATGATTAACATTGAATGAGAACACAAATATAATATAAAATGAAAAATAATACTCTCTCCATTCAACATTATAAGACATTTTTTTAAAGTATCATGTTAAAAAATATAAAATACTTTGAGTCTTTCAAAATACTATTAATAAAAAAATTTCAAAAATATCTTTAATTAAAGGCTGCAATATAATTAACAAGGTTTTCTAATCAAAATACTTTATTAAATAAAAATAAATATATAAATAGTATATAATTTTAAAGATAATTAGCTAACTTATTAAAGATATAACTTAGTTACAAATATTTTATAATACTAAAAGGAGGGCATACAACAGTCTAGTAATAGTGACATGAGCTTGCATAACCGAACAGCGGATCTCTCCATTTTTCCCCTTCTATTGCCCCAATCCTCACCATTTATTAATTTTATTATTAAAAAAATTATTTAATAAAATAATTTGAATGATGGGGATTGGATAAATATAGGGAAATGTAGGGAAAAAATGGAGAGACCCCTCTCCCTTGTGTAACCACCATCTAACACTATCCCTCAATTTAAGCTATCTTTTTTGAACAAGTGTCTGTGGATCATGAAATCTCGAACCTGATCTACTAATAGGTCCTGTGTAGAAATTAGAGCTACTTTAATTTCTCTCTTGATAAAATTTGATGAGCACCAAAAGTTGATAAAATTTCTATAAACTTGTTCAAATCATCACATGTTTCTTATGAATAATTTTAGCATCAGAGTTAGGAAATAATTGTATTAGGCATTTCATTTTGTAGACTATATCAGTATACACATATTGTGAATCAATTTTTTCTACTAATAGTTTTTCTTATTCACATTAAATTTACAATTTGATCTCTCTAAATCGTTATTTATAACATATGATGAAGTTGATAAATAAAAAAATGCAAAATCATGAAAAATATGGCAAGCAATTAATTTTTGAGAAATATTTTCTAAAAGTCATATTTTTCAAAATTTTGTTTTACTCTGTAATTTACAGAGGATCTTAAATCTATCCATTGTCATAAGAACCACAAACATAAAAGGACTTTGTTACAAGAAAGGTTAGCTTGACATGTGACAGTCTTCAAACTTAAACCTAATCATGCTTCAAGATCTAACAGATCTGTCATTATCATTTTTAAATCCTTATGCCCATTATCTTCTTGTCTAACACCACCTATGTGACAAATTTTAAAATATTGATCTCAAGCAAAAAGTTAATGATGTACATATCCTTATGCCTATTTCGTGTGTCCCAAGGTCTAAAAATGGCTGGTGACATGGCTATCTCATGCCTTATCAAAATAATTTTAGAATTAATCTTAAATATAATTAAGAGTCAACTTAAATCATCTCTCCAAGAGTGTAGTTAAACTTTAATTATGAGATTAATTAGTGAAATAAATGAAACTAAGTGTTAGGATTGATTTATCTAAAACTACTAAACAAATAACTAAATTCTAGCCTAAAGAGTGTTGGAAATTCTCCTTTCAAAGAGTTGGAACTCTTAAAATTGGTTGATGTGCGAAACTTTATTTTCTTGATGGTTTAAGTCAATTAATACTTTCTTCTCCCCTTGACCAAATTGTATTGAACCTAGGATAACCATCCCAACCCAATTAACCTAACTAATTTAATTTTTTAAGTCTTAGATTAAAGTTTTTAATTTATTTTCCTTGTTTGTGCAAGCGTTGGACAAGTATGGCAATTAAATTCATCCTCTCAAGTGCCATGGCCAAGACAAAAATATGAGCAACTATAAGACTATGTAAAGTTACTCAAGTGCAAGCATCAATTCACTAGATTATGTAACATTAAAGCAAGAAATTCACTAAATGAAAAACACAATTACATGCATTTATCTTGAAGTGGCTGAATTAAACTAAAAAAAAAATGAAAGAGAATTCAATGTCACAAGTATATTCTCTTTGCATACAAAGACTAAATTCTCATTGGAATTATAAAATTATGATAATCAAACCCTAAATTAAGTTATCTAATCATTAAGTTAAAAAAAGTTAGGAATTTAGAAAAGCTTAACCAAAGTTTCTCATGATTCATTCTTCATCTTTCTCTTTCTAGGAGTCCTCCAAGGTATCTAGCCTCTCATCTTCATCTCCATGGCCTTCTTGAAAGTCTTGATGTAGCCAAAACTTTGCCGTTAGAATTAAGATTTGAAGCTTTGCAACTCAAGGAATATGGGAATGGACGAAATAATGAAGATGAGAACATTGGTGTGTGTTTTATGTTGATTTGAGTGAGAATTTATATAGAAAATGTGGTGGAAGATAAAGAACAATGAAAGAACAAGTGAGAGAAAATAAGAGAGATGGAATGCAATGGCTTGAGAGATGAGTTTGATATGATTTTTCTCTCAAAATGGCATGCAGATTGTTCCCTTCAGCTCCTCAAAATATTAAAATAAAACAAAACAAAATGAAAATGCAAGTTGATTCAAATCACATGAGAGATGCTTGCAAGGTGGCATGTTCTCTTAGCTTGTAGATGATTTCAAAGTATACTAACTTAATCCCATACTCCATCCACAATTTAATTAGATTTGCTTCCTCCAATGATAGATAATGGTGCCACATAATCAGATTTAACTCCTTGAAGCTTTGCCCAAATGATACACATGTGCACATTTCACTTATATCACAAAATACGTATAAGTCAATTTAATAAAATATAACATCATAAAATTTAATTGAAGTGCAACGTTGCATTCATATTTAAAAGGGATAATTTATTAAAAATTTTCAAGTAATCGGTGTACAAAGTTGTCCAAAATTTACACATAAATGCAAACTCAAAACTAGGTCAAATGATCACACTTGAGAAAGTCAATGAAAAATGCTGACTTTTATTTAATTACTTCTAAACTAAAATGAATTTATAAAAAC